TAATAATAATAAATAAATAAATAAATAAAGTCTAAGAGTTTATAAAACTTCCTGAGGCAGATCCTTCAGCTCTGCCGGGCATTTAGGCTTAACCTGAGATCAGTACTAAGTCAAAATCAGGAGAAGGGAGTATCTTAATTATGGGCATTTCTTTGGTATATTCTTGGATTCTTTATTCCTAGGTAGATTTCGGGCAGACCTTGAACAAGCTGAAGAACCTATGCAGCAAGACGATCGTGAGAGAAAATGAAGGGTAAGAGAACTGAGGAACAAACAGCCGTGAGAGCTTGAGCGGAGATTAGTTTGGATCTTGCTCTTAGCTAATGTTCACAAGAAGTTCTAACTCAGTGTTTAAGGTCTACAAGATGTTCAGTTTCTTACCAAAGGGGAACATATTATTTTGAAAAGATAGGGAAGGCAGGAACTTGGAGGCACTTTCATATACTTTACCACAAGTCCATCTTCCGTGTTCAGGTAAGTTCTTTGTTGTCTGCCGTTTGTAGTCTTAAATGTTATTTATTAGGTGTATCTCTATGTACATGGTGCTTCTAAACTGTTACTTGTATATAGAAGTACCTTTGATTCTGTGTCTTGTATCCAGTGATTTTGTTAGTTATTTAATTTTAATAGTTCAGATTCTGCATACACAATCAAGTGATCTGCAAATAATGACAGTTTCTTCCATTCCAATCTTTTATTTCTGTTTCTTGCCTTATTCATACTGCCTGGGACCTTTGGCATGATGTTGATTAGAAGAGGTGATAACAGACATACTTGTCTTGTTCCTAACCTCAAGGGGAAAGCATTCAACATTTCATCATTAAGAAAAATGTGGCCGGATGCAGTGGCTCACACTTGTAATACCAGCACTTTGGGAGGCCAAGACGGGCAGATCACGAGATCATGAGATCGAGACCATCCTGGCCAACATGGTGAAAACCCCATTTCTACTAAAAATACAAAAATTAGCTGGGCATGGTGGTACACACCTGTAGTCCCTGCTACTCAGGAGGCTGAGGCAGGAGAATCGCTTAAACCTAGGAGGCAGAGGTTGCAGTAAGCTGAGGTCGCACCACTGCATTCCAGCCTGGCAACAGAATGAGACTCTGTCTCAAGAAAAAGAAGACAAGAGAAGAGACAAGACAAGACAAGGGTTTTTCTGTAAGTATCTACTATGAGATTAAGGAAGTTCCCTTCTATTCTCAGTTTATTGCATTTTTATCATGAGCAATTGACTCTCCACATTAAAAAAAATTTTGATCTATCTCACATAAAACACCAAAATTAATATTAAATAAATCTTATACCTAAACGTAAAAAGTAAATAAATAAAATGTCTACAAAAAAAAAAAAAAAATATGGTTGGCTAAAAAAAAAAAAAACACCAAAAACTGGAGAATCTCTTCTGGAGGTTAAGATATAACATGATTTTCAAAACAGAATACAAATTCTGTGATTTATCTATTGTGTTTTGGAAAAATTAGGAACTTCTATTCATCACAAGACTGAAAGAATGAAAAGGCAAGCCACAGAATGGGAGAGGAGATCTGTGGTATCTGTATCTCACAGGTATTCTTCTATCCACTCTATATAAATAATTCCTATAAACCACTAAGAAAAGGACAAATAAAAATTGGTCAAAAGGCTTGAACAGGTACTTCTCAAAATAGGCCATCCAATGCCATCAACTTATGAAAAAGCACTCAATATCTTTAGTCACCAAAAAAATGCAAATTAAAATAACACTGAGATACCACGATATATCTACCAGAATGGCTAAATTAAAAGGACTGCCAATGTCAAGTATTGGCAAGAATGCCAAGCAACTGGAACTCTTAGATATTGCTGGTGGGAATATCAATCATTACAACCACTTTGGAAAACTACTTGGTATTATCTACTAAATCTAAACATGTGCCCACCCTATGATCCAGCAATTCTACTCCTTGGTACATACCCAACAGAAATGAGTGTTTATGTCTACCAAAAGACACACATAAGAATGTACACATGTTCTTATCATAAAATGTAAGTATTTGAGGTGATGGATATGTTAATTAGCTTGCGTTTATTATTCCACATTGTATTCATAAATCATAACATTACATTGTACCCTATAAATATACACAACTATAATTTGTTAGTTGACAAACATTTTTTTATTTTTATTT